GATCCCATTTCGGGATACGCTCCTTCACTCGACTTCCAGAGAAGAATGGATGGAGGTGGTGTTGTTACAGTTGCGCACTATCACATACTCATAGTCCGGGATCGAATTCCAATCGATATCTTTGGACGCTAACCGAACGAAGCTTTCCATCTCTCCGGGGCCTGTTAATCGGCCCCAAAGTTACTTGGGAGGATAAAAGACTGGCTTGTACATCGACTGACTGCAGCAAGGCTCTGTATAGGCCAAATACGCATTCAGTACGCCATCACAATTCTGAACGGAAGCCGAGTGCGGGGACAACAATGAACTGTTTTTGGCCCTCGTTAGTTGGAATCCTAAGACCACTTGGATGGGTAGAAGATACGTCTCATTCCGGCTCTCCATCGGACATCCATATTAATGGTTATTTACTTCACGTGCGCCAAATCGGTCAACATCTTCAGAGTTCGAGTAGGTTAGTAGCTTGAGAATGCGCATGATAATAAACTTTGATAATGATTTCATACTTCTTATAAGTCATCGTGAATTTGAGCTTAGTATCTCTCATTGGTAACTGAATTCAAGTGAGACGGTCTTTCGCGCTTCTGCAACCAACTCTCTTCCACTCATCAAGCACTCGTCACAAAAGCTAGGGAATGCAGCAACCGGTGAGTTTCAGAAGCTTTCAATGAGATAAAAGTCAGCTTCCATTCAACCAAGGCATTCAGCGGACCCCTCCAGCCGAGAAAGGAGCGAAGGCTGGGACTCCGAGGAAGGCTTCGCTGGCTCCACTTGCTCAAGATAGAGCCTCTGCGAAAACACCACCCGCTGAGAATCCTGACGATGATCGAGGAAGCCCTGCTGCGATGACACCACCTACTGATCCTGCCCAAGATGCTCAGGGTAGAGCTACTGCGAGGACACCACCCAATGAACTTGCTCAAGATGCACCTTTAATACCACCGGAACGAAAACGGAATTTCATTGTTAGAGAAGGGTCAGTAGGCTTCTTGTTCACATCGCAGTGCGATTTCGTCATATCAAAGCCTACGTTCACTTTCATACTTATCAGAATAAAAACAAACGGAACAGACGCAGACGATACTCATGTTCGGCACTAGCAGGCAGTTAGAAGTGTGGGAGCAGTTGTTGACTAGGATCGTCCTAGGGGTTGAATACAGGCAGGGTGGGGGGTAAGCCGAACGCCCAGGGAAGGGGAAGGGACGATCATTTCAGGAATAAGCTACAAACTGACGCAAATTTTCAAACGACCTCCCGCTGCCGTATGTTACAAAAAAGACGTGGAGCAGAAAGTTGAAATAGTAGTCTCATGTAATGCCAGCCCCGGCGACTGTTTGGCTGCTTTCATAGTCCGCCGGCCGGCCGGCCGGCCGGCAGAGGCAGTGCTAGGGGGAGGAGGGAGGCAGACAGATAGGCAAACAGTCCACGCCCCTTCGAGGGGTTGAAAACAAACAACCTTCGATGGGGCGTGGACTGTTTGCCTTACACTGTCTGCCTCCCTCCTCCCCCCTAGCACTGCCTCCGCCGGCACGCCGGCCGGCGACTATGAAAGCAGTCTTTCCTATCAAGACTTGAAAGAAGAGCGACCTCCATGAGGTACATGACCCAAAAAGAATAGTACGCCGCAGCCACAATTTACTGTATTACGCTTCTCCACCGTTGTCATGAATAATTCGTGTCCCACCCTAGGCATGGTCGCTGCCGTAGAATTCTTCCTTCGCTGCTTTGAGCTCTCGACACGTAGAGACCCACCCCACACAGTCGCCGAGAGCTGTTGATTCTTCAGTTGACTATGTAGAATGCTAAACACGCAGGGATTTCATCTATCCGTTACCTCTTAACACCGTACTCCGTTCAGTAACACTAAACAGCGTAGTCTACCGGGCTGATTAGAGCAGACGTAGGAGCGACCAGGATCTAAGTAGTAGCTATCACTGCCAATCATCTGATACCCGGCACAGCTAAGAATCAAATGAGAATATGGCTGAAACCAACTCAGCCAAGATATTTCTTCACGATAGAACTTGGTCACTAAGAGTGATTGTGACTACGACTAAAGACGACGCTCTTCCAGGTACGCATACTTTTTGGCAACGATCATTCTCACTCCTGGAATGAAATTCGGTCTTGGTTTGAAGCATTATCGTAATAAGGTCGTTGTCAGCAAAGTGGAAGATGGTTTGATTTTTCACATCTCGACAGATTATTGTCAAAACTCTGATCCTCCCTTGCGTTTCCCGGCGCCTGTTTCCTTGATTCACAAATGTCTTCGAGTAAACATCAACATAGTTCTTACCCGTTTCTATCTACTTCTGCGACGGACTTCAGAGAAGGATCGAAGCGAACTGTTCATTAGAAGTCTAACCATTAAGTCGGGGGTCTTTTTTTTTGTTCTGGGGGATCATACCGGCAACTGATCCAACCTGGTCAGGCGATAAGCTGTTTATAGGGCCAAGGAATATCGAGGAGGTAGCGATGAAGACGACAGAACTCTCTACTCACCCGCTTTTACCTTCCTGCAGTCTTTTCCGCTTTCACTTCTGTTTCAAGACCTGAACTATGCGAAAGGTTGCTAACGACTGGATCACTTGGGCCGTCAAGAAAACTCAATGGTGGTCACTGGTCCGATGCACTGATTTATTCACGAAAGCAGTATCACATGATAGGGACGAAATAAAGGACGCCCGGAGAACTCGATGATGAACGGGACAACATGCGACGGAAGGGAACGGGAAGGTCTGGAAGCAAGGATCTCTTGGACATCGAATCAGCCCCTCTATAAATAAATCTGGGACTTTCTTGACTTCATAGTAGATTGGTTCTTTCCAGGATCGATGGTAGCTGATATCTTGAAGGTCATGGACCATATTTGTGACGTCTGCTCAAAGCCAGTCACAGATAAGGATATCTGCAGAAGGCTAATAGTGAAAGCCTTGAAAGCTAACGGAGAAGTGAATATGATTGTTGAGCGGCCGATTGAGCCTGATGCAGTAAAAGAGATGGAGGTGAGCCCATCTCTAACTAAACTCCTAAAAAAGTAGTGAACTTTGAAAGTTTTGCACAAAATTGACTGATTTACGTTGATCCCTCAATCAATAACTAAACTGTGAATAACTCCAAAACTGGTTGATTACCAGAGCTACGACAGTGAGCAATTTGATAAAAACAACGTTCACGCAGCATCGACAGTGGTTTGGAACTCCCTAATATTCTTCCTGTCCCCCTGATTCACTACATGACCAGCGAACCTTATTATAAGTCGATGAAATTGGTTACTTTTTTGGAAGCAGTTCACAAATCGCCCAATCAGGGAGCTCCTATGAAGGAAAGCAGCGAGTATCCTGTCCACGCAGAATGGATGCAAAACTATGGATGCAACGCCATGGGATGCAAAACTCGCTTCAATTAAGAAAAGCGGGATGGCACCACACAGTCCAGCAGACTCTAAGCTTCTAAAAGGCACTACCGAATGGAATGCATGATGAAAATTAGACCCATAAATCTAGCTCCATAAACCTTCGACCTGCCCCTTCCACTCAAATTTGAAGGTGCAGGCTAATTGTAAGTTCACACAATGTCGGCCTTCGCTACTAACCTACCACAAACACATTTAAAATTCTTCCGCTCACATTGTAGTGGAATGTACCTCTCAAACGAGGAAGGGCTCATTGACTAGATTCAAACTACCACGTGAAGGATGGTTAACTGTGCCCGAACGATCGTCGTGTCCTAGAAATTCAAAGAATGACTGGAACGTCGGATAAATTTGAGTTACTGCGAGCGTATTCAATGGGCGACTATGGTAGTTGCAAATTGATGCCGCGAGACAAATACCAAAGGTGTGATGCTTGCGCGCGCGTGTCCGTGGGAATTTTAGCACTTTTCTCAAAAAGCAGACAAACAGGAAAGGTATGCGCCTAAGCCATGTTCACAACTTCAGCGATTACACGTGAAGTGGCAGTATGGTTCATCCCAATAGTGGAAACGGTTCTATGAACTAGGAAACAGTACCTCTAAACGACGGTCAAAGTATATGAGACACATCGTGCCGCAAATGGAAACCGATAGGATGGCAACAGACTTGTATAACTGGCAGTAAACGTACATTACACCCTTATGGGAACCACGAGAAGGATATTAAAGGAGGGAGGTAACGCAAAATGTGAAATCTACCAAGGAATCACTGAACTCCTATTCTGCTGGTTTCAATCGCCGATGTGAAGGAATAAACGTACACCAACTGATACAGAAATAATTCTTCAACCAAAATCTCCACGAATTACTGAAGGTCAACATATTCTGTTCAAATTCCAGAACGCACTCAATGCATCTCGAATGCAAGAGCCATCTATGGCATTAGCACCTGATGTGAAGGATATTATTCGACGATACAGCGAAAAATTACAGGCTGGGCATGGACAGGTGCCCGCTGTAAGTTTACCACATCGTCCGAAAACTCGCTGAACTACACCATCATATAATCTCTTCTGTTCTGCAGAAAAAAGCTCTAACTGATTCCAAAAAGGAACGAAGACCAGAGGCTCAACGAAATGTGAACTTCGATGTTGGCGGCGGAAAATCGCACATTTCCTATATTATTGGTTGTGATTTGACAAAAAGTCAACAGGAAAAATTGACGGTAAGTGAAAAAGTTTCTGAGACGCAATCAATAACTAAATGTTGAATGGAATGATTCACCCTACCACTGCTGCGAGCGGTCGCGTTGCACAGCATGGATCAATACTTATCACCACGAATAGCGAATGAGCTGTTCTAATATTACTTATCGTAATCAACTTTTCCTCTAGGACAGGTAACATTGAAAATTATAATACGTGACGAAAGAGCATTTATGTCATGAAAATGCGAACAGCACTCGGCCTCAAAAATCACAAAGTCAAGGCTGATCCGGGTTGCCGCAACGCGACCGCATTGGCATTCACACCTGCTAAACGTAGGAAATTAAACAGCTTCACTAATGCGAAAATTACCTTGTTCCAGAAAGTGCCACCACATACCACTCAAGGTACACCAGCCGTTTAATATCGAGAAACTAATCGATCGGATATTCAAAGCTAATTCAAAAAGCTGGGTGTGGTGTGTTCACATTCAAGTCAATGAATACAAACTCCATTGTATGCACAGATTGTAGCAAATTTTTAAAAATAAATAAATAAAGTTAAACGATGTCCTAATAAAGATACTCACGCGAAAATATATGTTCGATTAGCGCCATGAAGTCGTCAACACAGAAAAAGCTATGTCCACAGACATAACAATCAGGCGAGTAGTCGCCTAAAAAAGTTTGAGCTCTAATTGAATTCCACAAATCAATGTTGATCTCTATGGAGAATCTCGAGAATAGTGTAGTGATGTACACTTGAATTAAAGGCACAGTTCACGATAAAAATTGTTCTTGATATTTCCCCATAGGATGAATTCGAGGTACCCTCGTATACCATAAATGGCGCTATCAGGTTGGAATTTGGCCTAGTTATTATAGTTATAAAAGCTCCAAGATTACGTCGTGTGTTTCATCGGACGAGTTTCATCGGCACTGTAGGGGCTGCACCGATCACAATGGTTCCACTATTTCGTCATTACCAATAGCGACAGTGAAAGGTAGTTCTGTACAGCTCTAGCTTGATGTAGTCATCTCTTTGCACAATTGTTACAACTGAAATCTTGTCCGAATACCCCTTCCACGTTATTCCCGTCATGGTAATCTCGTCCAACCTCTATTTTCCCTACTTCTGAGGTGCCATATTTTCCACGAAATCGGCGAATTTCTCGCTTTCTTCATCACCAACTATTTACACTCTACACTTCCTCTTTTCGAATAAAAAGGGGTACTTAAAAATTGACATGAACTGTGCCTCTGAGGCTCTCGCTATAAAAGCTATCGCTAACGTCTAAAAACACTCTTTCGAGACGGCTCCTCGTCCTCGTTGCTATTACCCCAATTTGTGGTAGGCTTCCTCTAATAGTACCTTCACAATAATCATTGGGAATTTTGCTGACAGTTAAGCAGTTCAGCGGACATGCGAATTGACGGACCGACACATCAAGTTAATATTTTTTATATTTAGAAAATTCCCTAGTGTGAAGCTTGAATCAGTAGTTTGAAGGCCTTTGTTACCGCGGAGTCGGAAGACGTATTTGAAGCTCTGAGAAACCA